CACTGGCTCCTAAATGCCTTGAAAAGAGTTGGGTGAGAACATTATGATTATGCCCCTTAGACTCTACTTATAGTCAGGCAGTCTATGGTCATACGGAAGCGTGAGTAAGTAGCTACAATGGGACTACTTACTGTTCCACTCCTGCTCAGTTCATTGCTGACTAGGGTTGGCCTAAAATGAAATGCAAATCCTCGGGGGTAAGGCACATAAACCTGTCATTCATGCATTCACATAAGAATAGAAAAAAAGCAATAGAAATAGAATAAAGAGGGGAAATGGGGGTTTGACCTACAAAAAGGCAGAAGTAGTAGCATCCAAATCAACTGAACCGGGGCAATAACAATACCTTTGTTTGGGATTGTACTATAGCAAGCTATCCTTTCGTTCTGTATTTACGTGCCTTTTCTATTATTCCAAAATTGCATTCTCACCCTGCTCCTTCTTGCCGTATATGTATATAAAGGCTCCTTACTACTACCTATTTGTTGGTAACGGCATCCATATCTTTATGCACGAACGAAAGGCTTTTATGATCTATTTGTGGACGTGTAGAGAGAGGCACCTTATCTATGCAATAACGATCACACTCTTCAAGACAGATTCGTAAAAGGTAAATCTACGCCATGGAAGTTTCATTGCTGAATGACTTTTCTGCTACCAACTCTTTCCTCTATGGGTAGGGCATCTCTACATGTGAGACCTTGTCTCAAAAATTCTCACATACCGGATTCCCGAGGAAGAAAGAGAGCTTCTCTCCTCCTTGCTTTCATGCATATCCATATCATACTAACAAGCTGAAAAGTGATCTCGCTGTACCCGATCCCCAAGACTGACATTGAGATAAGAGTGGAACGGGACTAGCCTTATAGGGGACTTCCCCGGATACTTCTCAACTCATATCGGAGCAAGGTACTCCTTGTCCTACTGAGACTGAGACCGCGTGAAGCAATACCACATTCTCAATACTCCGGCAGACACCGATGTAGGGCTTCATTCTTCTCTTGTTCCTCTTTCCATACGGACCGATCCCCTTCCTCCGGGAAAACTAGCAAATAGCATTTTCTTTTATATAGGGTCTTTTCTTTGGTTAAGTCAGTGATGGAAGTAAAAGCCTTTCACGGTTGAGCAAGCTTTCGTCTCTCCTCTTGCGCTTTCTCGGAAGCTATCTATTCTTCTTGTTGGACCTTGCCTTCCTTCTAGGTATGAGTCAGCTATTCCCCTACCTTCTCATTCTTGCCTTGCTACTGTGACTGCAGCAGCTATTGCTTGCTGCCGAGTGCCTGTATCCTTCGTCTTATTTCCTAGGGTACCCTGCTTACGCGATTCAAAAGCCAGTTCCCGCGGATCGCCCTAAAGAGCTAAAGAAAAAGGTTTTTTCTATTTGAAACATCTCGTTCTTGAGAAAACTCAGGTCTCTGGCCCATCCAAATGATAGACCTAGTGCGATTTCCTCTCTTTTTGCCAACCGCAATTGGAAAAAGAGTTTATGGGATGGCAAACTATGGGCGTCCAGGAAAGACGTACCTCGTAAGCCTTAAGGTCATAAGGGCCATTCAGGCCTCATGACGAAGCTTTTTTTTTAGACCCCGCGGCGATACGATAGCTTATTCAGGGAAGGGCAGGGGCAACGTCTGGCGGAGCTCAACCGAGTAAGAGGTTCTGACTTGGATGCAAATGCAGAACATCAAGAGTACTTTACAGATGCCATAATGGATCGCATCCGGGTTCCGGCCGGGCCGGAGGTTAAGATACTGAGGCTGAAGGAGGGATAGTGTGACGGGTGGAGCGGAAAAGAATCTATGAATTTCGCGCATGAATTAGTGCATGAAAGGGATCTCCCCACGAAAGAATCAAATATTCTTCACTACGTGCCTATCTCTTTCCTCTCTTCCTCTTAATATGGTATCGCGAGATGCAAAGCCGGACCAAAGGGGCTCCATTCATCAAAGCTCAAAATAGGGTATACTTATACTATTCTCAAAGTAAGAAGAGGGGAACCTTACGTCCCCGGGCTTATAGGTCCTATTCTGGTGAACCCCCCGACGTATATACGTCGGATTGGTTCGTATATTAGCTAAGGCTCACGGCCACTTTCATCGAAGACAAGACACTTTTCTGCTCCTTACAGTCGCACCTCGACGCGCCGCAGCCACTATTTTGACTCCTTTTATGCAATTAGGAACTCCATGGAACTTTCTCGATTCCAATGCAACTTATCCTTTTGGAGCTGACGTAACAAACTACGCGAGCCTCCCGATGAAGCCAACAGAAATCCTATCCGAATACTAAAAAGAAAAGGCAGTTTCATTATGGTGGTATACCAGCCGCCAGTTCTGGAACTTCCAGTTCCAATCGGAGCATATAGATCCGTAAATAGATTTGTATGTATAGCCACTTCAGTCGTGCTCGTCGTTTCTCGAATGGAAAAAAAGTATCTTTTTTCTGGGAACATGGTAAACCAGAAATTCTTATGTTCGTTATTCTTCATCCACCGATGCAGAAAATGCTCCAGTTTTCCATTCTCATATGAGGCAGGCGATAGTATTGGCAACAGGTCGACACGAAGTGATTCATCATGCTCAAACATGAACCGATCGCTCGTTGGGGACGGTTTAGAAAGAAGAAAATTACCACAAATGGAATGAAAAGTGGGTCCATGTAAATGATCGAGACCTCGCAAACAACAACGCTCCTTCCCCATATGGAGTTCGGGACCCAAAGGCAATCGTTGAGTGAACTGTATCTTATTTGTATTAGTTGACCTAAGCCGCACCATTATTGCTGGGGTGAGGCTCGGCCTCCGAACCGTACGTGGGACGAGTTTCTGCCTCATACAGCTCGGGCCGAAGACCGGGGAAAGTTGAGGAGCCGTTAGGCCACTCGACTGAAAGGAGAGGCTATAGCTCGAGCAAAGCGAGAGGAGAGATGGGGAGACCCAGCTGCTGCCGGTCGGGACAGGAAACGGGGCGGGGATCAGCTTGTGAAGAAGCAAGCTTCTTCCCCCACCCCCAAAAACCGACCCTATAGCGCTTCTTCTTTCTATTCCATCCCAGTCCATTCCGGGATAGGCTAGGCTAATACTAAGAACTAATAGAATAAGTGCAGTAGTCGTCGTCTGACCAATCGGCTCGGACACCAGATCGCTCGTGCCCGCCCAAACTACGATCATGGTTGCCCTAAATGGAATGGCTCTCTTCTCTTAGTTACGCTGCGCCCCGACCCGAGTCCCCACGTCCGCTTTTATCCGCCCACAACCCGCTTTCTTTGCCAACACAACATTAGGGCCGTCCCCTTCATTCTATGCTGACCCGGGCTGGCTTTTTGGGAAGCCCGTTCCCACCGCGCTCACGGCCCGGCTGGCCTGCCAGCGGTAGTGGGAATTCTCCCGTTCCCTGGTAAAAAAAGGGGTGGTTGGATGCGGGATCTACTCCACGAGGAGCGGTACGGACGTAGATGATATCATCACGACCTCTCTTTGCGTACCGCTAGGGATGCTTAAGGCCACTTCGCCAACTGGCATTACCTGCGCTTTCGTCTCTCTCTCTAAGTGTGGTCAGCACTGGGTGTTTCCGAGCAGCGAGGCTGACACCCATTCGCATTAGTTCATCCAAAGTTCCTTACCCTTATGCACGAATTTTGGAATAAGCCATCTTCCTATCAAGGTTAAGGAATCAACTGAGCATCTCAGCGGCGGGATTGAATACGGATCAAATCAGAGTTCACGCCGCCCGCCCTGAAAAAATAGGAGGCGTGGGCCACAGGTCGCACATCAGCCACCGGGTCGCACGACAGAAGAACACCCAACAGAAAGATGCACACTCCTACATGTGAAATAGGCAGATGAATCTTCACTTTTTTGTAGTAGTCGTGACCAACAGCCATCAGCAGTCGGCTCGTTGGTAAGGCGAGAGCTTCAAGCCCGATTTCTGGTGGCACACCCCCCAAACAAGCACCACTCGACGAAGGGGGGACGGGGAAAGCTACAGGCCCAAAACCTTCGACCCTTCTTTCTCTTTCTATATAGGGGTACCCCGGGCACCTCATCTTGTCATTTCGTCGTTGCTCATTCCCGTTAGGCCGAAGTGTTTGGCGTTTCCTTCTCCGCTCACGCTTCGCTGACCTATCGCGTGGTAAAGAGAAGATAGTACGAAAGAATTGTAAACAGGACAGACCGCAGAAAGATTCTAAATATGACAAGTCCCCCATGAATTTGATAATCAGGAAATTAAGAACGGGAACGAAACGAAATAAAGCATTTCTAGCGGATGAGCTTCTCCCAATTATGTCTGTGAATAGAATAGGGCGGCTTGCTCTGACCAACACTCCACTTTTTGCTCTGTCCATGGAGCGTATGAATTTCCTGGAATGTAGATATACCAAAAAAGGGAATTCAGGGATCAGAATAGGAATTAGAGTACCATTGGAGGAAGGGGCACCAGTGGGAACATCTCTACTGACGAACAATTGAAATAGTACGGGTGCTGCCGTGCCACGAGGCACGACCATGGAAGTAATGAAAAAGAAGAAGTTAAGTAGTTGGACCATCTGTTCTATCCGTTCTATTTTAGCTAGAAGATTAGACGCTAAAAATGAAAGTGTGCGCAACGCATACCGAAAAAGCCATGTTGCCGACCATTAATGACTAGTTCGAACACCAGGAGCAGGGTTGAAACAAAGAAAGATTTTTGACTTTCTTTTTCGAACGTTTTCAAGAAAACCTTCTCTTCTCGTAAAAGTCTTTTCACAATGTTTTTAGTTATATTAGTATATTACTATGCTACGCCCTTCCCCCTGTCACTCCTATAAAGATCCCCGGCGTGAGAGACTTCTGCAAGTCGATCTCCACCTTGCATAGGACCTCTTTTTTAGCTTAGCTTTATGCTCTTGGATCGGACTCCCCCACTCGACTAGCCAAAGAAGAAAGAATATCCGGTCGCCTTTATTCGACCGGGAGTCCAGGAAAGATTATCCAAACCGGAGCCTTATGCAATACTGCTGTTTCCGGCCGACGGTGTCCACCTTTTCAGAACCAGATATTTAGGTTTCTTTTCCATGGTACTCCGGTCCAGGCCTTCATCCATCATATCTTACTTCTAGTGAAATCTGATAACGAAGTAACTATGGCTCAGGTCCACGAGTGCCACATTCCCTTTCGCTCGCCACAGGCTCCTTGGCTGCTCCTCCACATACTCCAACATAGGCAGTAATTTCCCAATAAGGCTGCGTCTCCACTAGAGCCTTGTGCTAAAACTTCCTGGGCTGGGGTAATATGACCTTATCCTTTTGCATGACTGCATCCTGCATCCACGGGCACTCACGGGGGTCATCTTCCTGATATTCATTGTTAAAATCCTTATCCTGGACCAGATCCGACCAGGAGTGCGGTTGAATCTTGGAACTTTGCTCCACCGCCTCTCCCTCATCTGCATCCAAACCATTTCGACCGGAGCGACTTCGTTCAATCGCTTTTGAACTTTTTTGTCTGCCCGGCGGCTTTTCATAGTTCACGGCCCCAGTTGAGTAGGGTCGGGATAGGTAGGCAATCGAATCCAGTCTTCTCGGTTCAGTGCCTATTTCTAAGTGGTAGGCTCACCATCGGGCAAAATAGCTCCATTTCTATTTCATCTAAGAATTTGAGATGAGTTGGGGGATCACTCGACTTTCAACAAGGTCGGTTGAAGATTATGAAAGAAAAGCAGGAAAGCCTACTTCATTATCAGTGAGATAGACAGCCCAGCGAAACTTCTTCTGTCAAATAGCGCGTTGAGCGGAATAAGCGGATCTTTTTTTACTATATTTTTACTATATATATATAGGATGCCACAGGGAAAACCTTCTCGCGAGATCTTCTCACTCTAACGCTCGCTCGAACGTTGGTCGACATTCCACTACTATTTTCTTGGTTGGTCTTGTGTCCCATCATGGAAGTACCTTAGATTTTCTTCTCCACCGATATAGCAACTAAAAGAAACCCAATCCGTGTGACCTTATGAGACCACCTATCGTTTGATAGGAGCTACAAGAACAGCCATTCTTTTAGTTGGTGACCGAATGTTGTTTTGCCAGTTCATAAGTGACCTCTGGAACTCTTCCACCGGAGAAGGTGTCTCTAGCCGACTTCAGAGTCTACCTTTCCTTTATAGCGATCTCCCGTGTTTCTCCATGTGACCCGCGAATACCAAAAAGAAGAATACGGCGCTTACTTACTTGAACTGATAGAACAGATAGTTCGACTACGATCTGTTTTTCTATCATCCGTGTGAGAGCAGCCGTGCCAGCACTAGGGGAGAAGACTTCTACTCATCCTTACAGCTCTTATCTGATCTACTCCTACCAGCTTGATCTAAGCAAGCAAAGTCCGTTAGTTACTATTTTTAGACTAGCGTAAGGAATCAGTAAATGGAACACCTACTTCTTTTTTCTTATCTTTCGCTAGAGGGGTGTAATTAATAGCCAGCCCATCTCCTGTGGGGTTAAGCCCTATGGCTTGTCGGAATCGTACTGGTAAAGCCTTAGCTGGCGAAGCTTCGGATCTTAGCTAATGCCATTTGATTTGAGGTACTTACAAATCGTGAGGTTTGGTGTAACTAACTGAGCTGATAGGTGAACCAAGACCCCGAAGGTTGCCCCTTCCGCCCTTGCGCCAAGATAGCTTTCAATAAATGGGCTTCGCAGCTAGTGCAAGTAGTCCCGTACTACTTTTTTTCTAAAGATCATTTTTCCCCGGAAGAATGGACTCGGACGCTTCCACTCCTAGTAGCGGACACAAATGGACCTTTCTTGCAAGTCCAGCCTTAGCCTTGCCAGTACCAGTACCAGGTACCAGTGAGCGCGGGCGAAGGGAGAGACCAATAGCAGCACCAAACGTTCGCCTTATTTAGAAGGCCTTCCGAAAATGATAGTTCCTTCCGACCATGCTTCTGTCTCCCCGGTATGAAGTAAGCATCGCCGTATGACCACGTGCCAACTCCCGAGCCGGATGGTAAAACGACTGTCCTTTCGGGGCGGAGGTGTATACACGTAACTGGAAGTTCACCATGTTCGTAGATTAAGCTTTGCTTTGAATATCTTCGCTGAAACTTCTGGTGCTGGCTCGGGAGATAGCATAGGCTAGACTTTGAAAACAAAGGCGACCGGAGGGAAGCGGTGCATATATTCTCTTTTTAGGTCTAAGTGGGGTACCTAAGACAGATGCGCCTTGATCTGAACAATGAAATGAATTGCATACAACGAAGTAAGGGGGTGCCAACTTACACAATGAGACTACGTGTTTGGCTCCCTTCACCTTTCTCAAATTAGAATAGTCAATCCTAAAAGTTGCGCTTCTTTCAAGCAAAAAGAAATCTCGGATCAAGGGCTATCGACCCGACAGTGCTCCCTTGGTCCATTTAGTATATCCTCCCCACAAAAACAAGATCATATTGAGAAGAAACTTCGAGGGAGATAGCATTGGCACAGGCTATTACCTATTGACGGGTGTCATGCCAGAGTCTGTCCGGGTGAGCTCAAGCTGTAGAAGAGAGTTAGCTTTCTGCTGAGTGAGCACGAACAGGAGCGGACGCACACTAGATCAGAGCAAGTTTTGCTGGCCCAATGGCACAGACACCTACTAGGATGAGGCATAGTGGGAATTGAACCCACATCTCGTTGAGCTGCTCCAGTAAGCACCCCGAAGCTCAATTTGTAGGACCGGGGAGAAGACTCGCAGGCGTGCAGGCGTTTTGAGAGAGCTAAAAACTCTCACTTTAGTAAGTGCCAGCCAGGCAAAAGGGTTAGCCTGAAGGAAGTGGTGGTTTAGCCAAAGGTAGAACGTGCAAGGGTTGGATTCATCACGCTCTTAGAATAGCTGTTCCAATCCGAAGGCCTATCCCAAGACGGAGAGCTTATCTTCTCCACTAGATCTACATAAGGCGCTAGTCAGTCTATTCCAATCTTTCTTGTCTAATGGATTTGCTTCTCTGCAGACAGAGGAAGACATTCATGAAGTGGACGAACTTGGTGAAGAATTACTGCAAGGGGCTAAAGGAACCCAGCCCATGAACCAGATTGGAAAGGAAATACCTTATGGTTCATTGACTAAGGCTTCTCCCAGGGCAGAGGAAAATTTGCATGATCAGTCCATAGATATTTTAGAGAAAGTTCACTCAAGAAGTGTGAGGAGGGCAGTTTTGGTGAAAGAAATTTAGGAGTCTAAAGAGAAAATAGTAGTTGCTCTATCCATGAATCCAGGGGGAAGACAGAGAGGCAAAGGCGCTAGAAGAAAAACCTGCTGAAGGTGGTCCGGCCAAAGCTACTAGGGAATGCCAAAAGGGCGAGTAAAGATTCCATCACTAAGACTGTCTCATGAAGGTGAAGGCTGTAGTCTGGAATGTAAGGGGGTGAAACATGAAAGAGAAAAAAAAAAAAGAAAGAGTTGAGGAAAGGCGACCGGTAGGGAGATCGACTACTCAGGTAATTTTGAGAATTTGAGCTGTTGAGACAAAAGTTATAGAATCCAGAACTAAGAGAATCATTCAAATAATCTGGAGTGGCCAATCCCATAGAATAATGCATTCGATTGATTGCCTCTGATCGGAGTCCTTGAGTTAGCCGTTCGTTTCTAGTTTAGCTTCTTAAGAGAAAGCTACCAAAGATTCCACCCTTCCTCACAGGAGCGATAACCACTTCTTTTTAGATTTTTCAATTAGAATTAGAAGAAATAAGGACAGGTTTTCATGAATCAGGCTAGGAATTGTTTCAAAACCTCTGTCGAATCCCCCCCGAAAACCCCTATAATAATAGTAAGCCGGGATAAAGGAATTCTGTGATAGTTTCATTCAGCCTAACCTCCCTCCTAACCTCTCGCGGAAGTAATGGAGTGTCTGGAAAGTGCGAACCAGTATAGCAAGTGTGGAACTCGCTCTTAAACTCGCGGAAAGTATGTAGCTCCTTCCCTCTACCTAACCAACATAGTACCTCTATCTTTCTTCTACTGAAGAGTAGAAAAAGCTGAGTGAATAGATAGCCTTAGGGATGCTTTTACTTCTCTTCTCTGTGCCCTACCTCCTAAACTTTGGTAATAGAACTAACCTTCGGTTTTTCTAACTAGTCTTTCTGTCTTGTCTTCCTTGTCATGTAAGGAAGGACGCAACTTCTCTGTGGGAGGAGCTAAAAGGAGAGTGAAGAGAGAGAGCTTCCCGGCCCGCCTTTCTTTTTGAATGGAGTATAGGGCCGACCGACCTTGTACTCACCTCTTTCTGGTAGTCGTGAGTGTAGCTTCCTTTCCGTAGTGAGCTATTGATCTCTGGTCTCTGGGAAGCCTTAGGGAAGCAAGAACTTCTCCGGGTTGTATACTCTTCAGTAAGTTTCACTACTAATGGGAAGCTATTGAGTTAACCCTAGAGCAAGATCTACTAAGCCCTATGAGGCGCTTATTTGAACCAACAAGCCT